CACCCAGTTCCAGTAGCAAACACCGACCTCTCAAGTTTTCGACCAGAAGTACCTTGAAATATTTCATTCTGAAAAGTTGAGCGTGTTCCTTTAGCTTCTGAACTTATCTCTCGAACAAAAAATTTCTGAAAAAGCTCAAAAATTGGTTGTGTAACAGTGTCCGCCGTCAACAGCACCCTTAGCGCTAACATCCAAAACTTGGAAGTACACGACAAAAACACTGCGCCAAGAGACAATAGAGCCCAATCTCCTCAAACAACTAATAGGGAAGCCTCAGTAGTTGCCTCAGATAAATCCTCAGGTAAATTTAACACCTCTACATATTTTTTTATTATCAATTTTCACCGGGTTAAATTTTCCTACTAAGACCTGTTTTCTTTTACCATGTCTCCACCTTCTCTTAGACTTAGAGGTTATAATGGAAGGACCAGAGACGCTCCACCATCCCAGAGAGGATTTCCACCAGCGTCAGTTTTACCAAAGAATAAGGATAAAATAATTTACGCATCGAAAAAGAAACTAACATCTCCTACTAACAGTTCCAAAGGAGGAGAAATTCGAGCGCTATTACTACAGGATGAAGACCAACAAGGAATGGCTGAAGGATGTGCGCAACCGCAGCAGTTACTCGGCCATCAGAGCTCATCTAAAGTATTGCCGGGAGGATTTCCAAGCGATGATAGATCTAAGAGGAATGACAACGACCCTCAAAAGAACCAAGGGTTGGAACCCACTAAACGTGTCGGCGGAGAGTCTCCTTCAACCACGAGAAGCGCCGGACCTTCAAGAAGGATCAATGAGACCCCTGAGTCGCAGAGGGAGGAATACCCATTCAAGACACCCAAGGAATACGGGGAGGAACACTCAATGGCGCAGCCAAATCTACGAAGAGATGGTACGCCTTGGGAGGTCTCTTCAAGGGACTTATCAACACTTGGAGAAAGGCAAAATCAACCGCCAACACCGCTTCATGGAAGAGGAGCCTTAAACACTTCCCCTACACCTGCGCGTGAAAAAATTCCTGATAGTTCTGATAGTGATTCTACTAGTAGGAAATCAAAATTATTGTCTAGT